CCTGGGCCACTTGGCGAGACCTCATCTCTACAATAAATCAAGAAAAATTAGCTGGGCATGGTGGCACATACCTGTAGTTCCAGCTATTTAGAAGGCTGAGGTGGAAGGATCGCCTGAGCCAAGCAGGTCGAGGCTGCAGTGGCTGTGAGCATGCCCCTGCACTCCAGTCTGGGCGACAGAGTGAGACTCCATCTCAAAAAAAAAGAGAGAGAAAAAGAGAAGGAGCTCACCATGTGGTGTCCATCTGTTAGGACTGCCCTGACAAAGCACCCCGGGATGGATGACTTAAACAACAGACATTTCTCCTCAGGAGACCAGAAGTTCAAGATCAGATGTTGTAGGACTATTTCCTTCTTAGGCCTCTCTCCCTGGTTGAGGTTGCCGCCTTTTTTCTGTGTCCTCTGGTCTCTCCGTGTGTGTCCTATTTCTCTTTCTTGTAAGGTCACCAGTTAGGTTGGATCAGAGCCCACTTGAATGACCTCATTTTGGTTTTTTTTTGAGTCAGAGTCTTACTGTGTCACCTGGGCTGGAGTGCAGTGAGACACTCTTGGCCACTGCAGTCTTGACCTGCTGGGTTCAGGTGATCCTTCCGCTTCAGCCTTCCAAGTAGCTGGAACCACAGGCATGTACCACCACTCGTGGCTAATTTTTTTATTTATTGTAGAGATAAGATCTCACCATGTTACCGAGGCTGGTCTAGGACTCCTGGACTCACGCGATCCTCTCACCTCTGCCTTCCAAAGCATGCTGGGATTACAAGCGTGAGCCACTGTGCCTGGTGTAATGGCCTCATTTTAACTTAAGCACCTTTTTAAAGGCCCTGTGTTCCAGTATAGTCACATCCTGAGATACTGGGGTTGGGACTTTGACATATGAGTTTGGAGGAGACACAGTTTGGCCCTAACAAGTGCTTTTCATTTTCCATATTTCCTCAAAAGCCAGAATTTAGTAAAGTACTTGAAATAATACATTACCAGCCAGGCTCGGTGGCTCAGCCTGTAATCCCGCGATTGGGAGGCTGAAGTGAGAGG